TTGTGCACCTTCACGTTCCTCAGATATTCCTGAACCTGATCTCCTCTAACCGTGGGCAGCTCTTCATTCTCCCAGTCCCTGCCCTTGCCTTTCATGACTCGTGGGATACGGCTTGTGGCCTTGCCAGTTAAGACTGGGGGGAGAAAAAAGCATTGAATACCTCAGTCTTCTCCATATCCTGGGGAACCAGCTCCTCTATTTTCCTTCTGCAGAGGGCCCACACTTTCCCTGATCTTCCTTTTATCCCCTGTGTACCTGTCAAAGCCCTTCTTGTTGCCCTTCATGTCCCTGGCCAGGTTCAATTCTGTCAGGGCTTTAGATTTCCCAGCCTGATCCCTGCCTTCTCAGACAAGTTCCCTGTAATCCTCCCAGGTTACCTGTCCCTGCTTCCACCCACTGTAGGCTTCCTTTTTGCACCTAAGTTTCCCCAGGAGTTGCTTGCTCAGCCACGCAGTTCTGGTGTTTTTACCCAACTTCCTCTTCACTGGGATGCACAGCTCCTGAGCTTGGAGAAGATCCTTGAATAGTCGCCAGCTTTCTTGGGCCCCTCTTCCCTCCAGGGCTTCATCCCATGGAACTCTGCCAGTCAGTTCCCTGGAGAGGCCAAAGTCTCCTCTCCTGAAGCCCAGGGTAGCGAGCTTGCTGCGCACCCTCCTCACCTCCGTAAGGATCTCAAACTCCACCATTCCATGGTCGCTGCAGCCAAGGCTGCCCTTGAGCTTCACCAGTAACCTACAGATCTGGATTAACTCAAGTGTTCCACATTATCTAATAGTTAACCTCTGTAAATCTTCAGCATGAACATCGATTTGTATATATTTTGAAATTCTTTGTGAGCGTTTTAACAGACACAGCATTACTACATATCGAGTGCCTTTTCAAGTGAAATTTATACTGCAATTCGGAGAGAATATTTTTCTGTCATTGATCAGTCTTGTGTATAGAAAATATCTTGATTCAGTGTTAAGGAGTTGCTAGTGTGTGATGCTGTTTTCAACAGTTTTGTCCCTGGAAAATGAAGTCCAAGTGGTATTGACATGCAGAACTATCAAATGGTATTTAATTTGCTTTTGCTTCTACCGAGGTTCATCCAGGAGTTGGCATATATCAGACAGTAAGCATCCTGGTAATCTTGTTTAACGTGCCCTGTACAAGACACCACCCAAGGCACTGGAGATCACAAAACCAGACTGCCCTCATCTGTGCACCACGCGTTAGCTTTTCCTATCGAGATGTGTCGTGAAAGCAGCAAACGGTAGCGGTAGAATAGGTTGTTGAAAAAAGTCTTTATGTGTAAGCAAATGAAACTTGCTTAGTTAGTACTGGTTTTAGGGCTGCTTGAAATCAAAGAAATTTTGAAATCCTTTGATTTCAAAATCAAAGGACTCCTTTGAAATCTTAGTTCCAGGTACTGTTCGTGCCTGTGAGAGAGAGGTCTTGCTCAGTGCCACTGGATACGTAAATCAATGCATCGTCAGCAGTTATATGTAAATGTTACTTGTGTTTTCTTGGAATATACTTTCTGAAGGGAACAAGGAGTTTATTCTGTAGGCAATTTACATCTTTGAGGTTTCTACCCAAGTATCATTTGTTCAAATGCTTTACTTTCCTCATTGCTAGAAATTCTAGTTTTGTGTCTGTGGCCCAGCCTACAACCGTAACTAATTGCTGACGGTTGTAAGTGATGTCGGAGATATGAGTCTTCTAAGTTGGCTGGTGTCTCTCTGGAAAGGGTTATCCAAAGTCATTGAAAGCGTGGTGGATCTTGAAAATGCTGTGAATGTTAAAGCCATGATATGACACCTGGCATCCCATGTTTTATTTCCTTCCTCTGAGGATAAAGTCTTTACTCTTCAAATTTCTCTATTTTTATCTGACTAAAACATTTCTAGATGGCAGCGATGACCCAAATGCTGTTTCACAAAGTAAAATTTCTAACTCCTGAACTTGAGAAAAGATCTTTGTTTATTGTAATTCTACTGTGACAATAAAGTAACTACGTTGTAAAATCTACATTTGTAAAAGTGATGGTAGTGCGTTGTTAATGATAATTAACAGAATATTTGCAAATGGCTGACCAGTCCTTCATCATCATCAAATTCTGCTATTTTGTGCAGTGTTGGCTGTGTGTTTGTTTCTTCTCCTACAATAGAACTTCTTTAGCATATTATTCAAAACACTATAATTCAAAAGTAGTTTAATGAAGTTGTCTATTAGAATTTCCTGAGTTAAACTATCCATTATCACCTAGTAATTTTTTTAACAAGTAATTCTTGAAGCAGAAGTGCATTTCTGATTATTGTATTTTGCTTTTCTTGTGCTCAGATTGAAATGTATTTTTTATAAATTAAAAATTTCAGTCCTTAAGTAATATTATAAAGGCACGTTTTTAGGCATTAATCATTTTCGTTGCATGTGAATAATCTCCCGTTTCTTTCTGTTTTCAAATGAACTGTGCAGTGGTCGGTGAAGATGGTAAGCCCGCGTGCTGATCTGTCTGCTGTACTTCTGCTAAGATAGCATGAAAGTAATCTTCTGAAAGTGTTTCCATGCCATAACCGCTTTAAGTCAGGTGCTGAAATACATCTTCAGATTTTCCACTCATGTACTCAAGTCTTCTTAATCATCCATGCTTAATGTAAGATAATTAGACTTGTGATCAGGCTGCAGCCGAATCTGTGTTGTTGGAATTTTGGGGTTGATCAGTGTTCACAAGCTGGTCGTGATGGAAATACTTGGTGATTTCTCTGACTCAGGAAAATTGTTAAAGCAGCATGAAGTAGGTGTATGAAAAGATCACAAAAGTTGTGTGAAGGAGAAATACTGAATACTGCAAAATTCACTCCTTTGAATTTAACCAGAACATTTCAGGGGACACGATCCTTTACGCTTACGAGTGTCAGCAAGCCGTTACATTAAATGAAAACCACGCAGGATACTCTGCTTCTCACTGGCCTGTAAGGAAGAATGCTACAGGGGATGTGATTTTCTGTTTCTTTGTAGTGTGTAAAAGCACCTGAAAGGATTTTAATTAGTCTTTTTCCTCCAAAAAGAAACACTTCTGCTTTTCTTTGGAAACACCGTATTTTGATTTCAGTCTTTCTGTGGTGTCTTGTATTCCCTTCTTAAAAAGCAGTGAGAATATGATTTTACAAGTGCAAAAGAACCAAAGTTGAGAGGCAAGAAGCTCTGAAGAGGGGGTGTTAGTAGCTTGGCACCTGAGCCAAAGGCTGCTCTGTCAAGTTGCTGTCAGGTTTCATTTTGACAGAAGACGCTGTCCAGTTGGCTTTGCTGCTGTGGAGGGTTTCTGTAGTGGCAGGTGGGTTTCTTGTGCTAAAAGCAAGTTTCTTAGGCAACTAGGACACTAATAATGCAACTTCACTTTCTGTTATTAAGATGTGTACCATATTTCCTTCTTAACACTGTTGGTGTCTGTCACCCTGAAGGGAAGAGTTTTCACCATAAACTCACAAGATACATAAAAATTCCTTCCCATGCTTTTCACATCCAAGTCCTTCCATCCTGTTTATAATCTTGGCACAAGTTTGCCATCAGTCTTTGCAGGTTTGGGCTCATGACAATAGGTGGTCTTAAGTTTTGGATTCGTGTTGGGGTTTTTTTGTGATTGGTTTGTTTGTCTATTTTGGTATGGGTTTTTAATTTAAAAAAAACCTCAAAAGTTTGGAAAGTAGAAGGTTTTTTCCCTTCCCCGAAACATTGTTTTTTATAATGTAAAAGATAACTTGGAATATTTGAGCAAGTTTTGATTCAGTTTTAACATATTTAAGTCAGATTTTTGATGTCATAAAGGCTTTTTCTTTGCTCTGTGAACGAGTTTTACTGGAGGTAAAATGCATCAGAACTTTGTGAAGTTTTAAAATGTTCTCTAGCAAGGTTGGTGAACTTCCAAAAAAGACCTATAGTAATCAAGATCCAAAGTATAGTATTTTTGTTTTGATAGCATCCAAATCACTGTAGAACACACACTCTAGAAAAGGAATCCATTTTGTACACATTATTATTATTACATACACAGATTTTTGTTCTGACTAAAATGACTCTGTAGTAATTGGTTCTGTCCTTTCTAAATCTGCTTTAAGTGCAGCAGATGTAATAGGCAGTACATGGCTCAGCTTTGCAGGAAAATAGTAAGTCTACAAATTTTGAGTATCATCTGTGAGACAACTGTTACAGAAGGCAGCAGGAACCTTGAATGAATGACTACAGTCTGGCAGAAGAACATGCACTTACTCTGTTGTGGTCTTTTAGAGAGCTGTGTGTCAAGTAGAGTTTTTAAGAAGGTCCATCCTACTTCCAGTGAACACTGTCCGTGTGTGGGTATGTCAGTTCAGCTCTCCAGATACTGCGTGTTGCTTCTTTCATAGTATTTCTGCTTGCAGGGCCCTGCACTGGAAGACTTCAGCCATCTCCCTCCAGAACAAAGACGCAAGAAACTGCAGCAGAGAATCGATGAACTTAACCGAGAACTACAGAAGGAAACAGACCAAAAGTGAGTGTGTTTTCTTGACCTTTGTCATGGTTCTCTCTGTCTCTTCCTTTTGAAGTCCTCCAGCTAAGCCAACAGTGCTTAGAAGCTAGGAGAGAATATATTAGTCCTGCCTGCTACACTGCCTTTTTTTAGTTCATGGTTTATTGTATGTAGGTTCTGCTTTACTGTAATACACATCTTGTTCCTAATGTTACGTGGGAAACTCTGGATCTGAAATCATGCCTTAACAAAAACCTGCGTAGGTCTGTTGAACAGGAGAGCTGCCAGAGTGCATTAGGAAAATAATGTTGCTAATACTCAGGAAATTGCGTATAATGAACAATATGGGAAGCAGCATTAAGACCGGAGGGAGCAGTCAACAGTGTATGCTTGTGCACAACGCAGGGAAGGAAGGCAGAGCGCTCGGATGACAGAATGGGAAGAGGGTTTAGGTGTGGTGTGGTGAGCAGTAGTTCCTCATGTCTGTGCTCAGTATCTAACCATGGGTCAGGATCTCCTACCCATAAGCATTATTTTAGCTTTAATGAGTCGGTACTGATGTATGTAATTTTTATAATAATTGCTGGGTTTTATGTGTTTTTAGAGATGCCCTCATCAAGATGAAGGATGTTTATGAAAAAAATCCCCAGATGGGTGATCCAGGCAGTTTGCAACCAAAATTAACCGAGACGATGAGCAACATGGACCGTCTTCGGATGGAAATACACAAGAATGAGGTTAGACTCTCAAACAATTCCTTGGAAAACGTAAATGAGCGGTAAAACTCTGGTCTGCCTTATGAGTCATACATACAGCACCCAGAAAAACTACTCGACTTTTACTTTAGAAAGTGCTCCTGATAAGATTTTTTTTTTTTGTGGGATGCCATATTCAGGCACGTTATCTAGCTAGAATAAGGATGTACACTATTTAAGATGTAAACTGCTTAGAAGAATTTCTCATTAATCACTTATTCTGTAATTCCTATGTAATTAAAGATTATTTTTCCCTTAAGACTAGTAGGGAGCGTAGGCTGAGCACAAGTGGAAGTAATACGGAGAGTCCACACATGGATGCAGTCTCTGCGTGGCTGCGTACGGACAAGTAAACTGTGTTTGTTACATGGTATTTGCTGGTTTAGAATTGTTTTTTTGACACTGGTATTTGTCTTTTTTCCCCAAGGCCTGGCTGTCTGAAGTTGAAGGGAAAGTAGCAGCCAGAAGCGACAGGCGGCACAGCAGTGATATCAACCACCTTGTGACACAGGGCAGAGAGAGGTCACTATTCTGTCTCCACTGCTTTTGTAACTTGTGCTAGAGTCATGCAGCTCTTTGATAGTTAACAGTAGGTGATGGTTGTTACTTATGCTCTGGAAGTTTATGTCCTCCTAAAGGAAAATCGTACCGGTTCTGAATTCTAGAGGTCACTTCATGCCACTGTGGTAACGTAAGAAAAGAGTGTAATCATTGCCTAGCAGTGCCTTTTAAAGCTCTCTTGTTCCACTGCGTACGGCGTACCAGTTTCCATGTTCTGTAGAGACAGGTATGTCAAGTTTATGTTTGCTTTTATGGCAGAATTTGGTCCGAGCCTTTGTTAGATCGGTATTTTCAGAAAATCACCTCCAGCAGTAAATACAGAAGCTGCTGTCGGGCATTCCCAGAGGGTACCCGCGGTCTGCCCTTCCTGTGATGTGCATGTGTTGTGAGTGTGAGGGGTAGGAACGCTTCCGAGTCCTCATTCTCCATCATTGCATTGTAGCCCTGAAGGGAGTTACACGGATGATGCAAATCAGGAAGTCCGAGGTCCGCCCCAGCAACATGTGCATCCTAACGAGTTTGATGATGAGTTTGAAGATGACGATCCATTACCAGCCATAGGACATTGCAAGGCAATATATGCTTTTGATGGTAAGGTTAACAACACCCACTGTCGTTCCCTGACCGTAGGGCATGGATTATGTGTTGTAGAGGAGACAGGTAAAATGATTTAAAGCAAATTAACCGTATGAGCAACTAGTTGCTTATAAGGTCAGTGGAAATATTTCCATGAGCAGCACTTTTGTGCTGTTTTAAGATAAATATTAGCACAGCTATTGGCAAATATTCAGCTTTACGAATTGGAACTGGGGTTTTTTGTCTGTAAGCCTGTCTGACCATATGTTCTCTTGCATAAATTTTCAGTCTTCCTGTTTATATATAATCTGGAAACTATGCCCTGGGAAAAGATTAATTGGAATTCTGTCTGAAGAGTGAGACTTCTTTGCCTCTTGTTTCTCCCAGGTCATAATGAAGGCACTCTAGCAATGAAAGAAGGGGAAATTCTGTACATTATTGAAGAGGACAAAGGAGATGGGTGGACAAGAGCTCGAAGACATAATGGAGAGGAAGGCTATGTGCCAACATCATATATAGATGTAACACTAGAGAAAAACAGCAAAGGTGCAGTAACCTATATCTAACAGTAAACTGGCAGCTTTCAGTTGTACATGGGCCAGGGAAAACAGTGGAAAAATAGTAAGTTAGGTTGATGGAAAGCATCAGAGTATCAGAAGTGAGCAATGGTCTGTTGTTTGCGCTGTGACAGTGGTGACCACGTAAAATTACGCATCTTACACTGGGCTGTAATTCTGACCAGTGTCGTCTTCTGCTTTGCTTAATTGAACTCGTGTTCCTGCTTTACAGAGCGCTAAATCAATTCAGCTGTTAAACTGAAAAAGACCAGGAATCCTCCTTTTCTATAAAATGCTTTGTTTTTATGGAGAACTAAAAAATTACTTAGTTTTAAGATTGACTGTTCCCACTTTTATGACTTAAACTCCATGCTTAAAACAGAGGGTTTTTTCAATAATTGCTAACTGAACTCAGTTACTGAAAATCGTTAATTTCCTTCCTTAGCAAATACTTGGCAGCTTTCACTTCTTAAACAGGAAAATGTTTTCTGATTCTGAAAGCTCAACAAAAATACACAGGAAAAAACCATTATGGTTAAGAAGGACAGAAAGTCCACTGACCTGCCTCTCCTTCCTTTCCCATACTTGTAATGCAGAGTGTTGTGTACTGGATGCAACTTCATTGTTGTAACTCTAGAGACCCTGGGCAAACCAAAAGAGAGACTGCACGTAATGCCTGATGTCTTACTGAAACCCTTCTCTGCTCCCAAAAAGAGGATGATTTTATGTTCTTGATCTGTGCCTGTAAATGAAGTCTTTGAATTGCATCATGTTTAGTTTGAAATCGAGGTCTTAAATATGCAGTAATTCCCTTCCCTGAGGATCGGAAATGGCATTGCAGAGATTGATTACTAGGAAGGAAAAAAAAAGCTACTCTAGAGGCTGTGGCTCGTACTTCTAATGAGATTTTTTGGAATTAAGTACAAGGCTGATGTTGTAGCCACTGAGAAAGGCCTGTTAGAACTGAGCACGCTTCTCCGTCTTTTAAAGGCCTTCAGTAACTTTGTTCTTTTCTTTTTCCTCTTGGACTGCAGGTTCCTGAAGCGGGTTTCTGAGAAAATGGGCGAGATCTTGAAGGAGGTTACATGCAGCTGCTGGGGGGGTGGGTGGGGGTGGGGTACTAGACTGGGAGGCCCAAGGGGAAAAGCTAGTTGCATGAATGCATGCATACATACATTTAGTCACTAACATCTTAGCATCTCCATGCATAGGTAAGGATGTATTACAAATTCTTCGATTTGTGCAGGAAAATAGAGTTCCATTACCAGAGTAAAAAGGCTACTGCTCCTAAAATTGCTTTATTTCCATTGTCCTACGTTGTCTCAGATGCACAGACTATATTTTAGCTTGTGTTTGGATTATCTCAGTTACGCTCTTTTCCAACTCATCCTAACTGGCCGTCACTTAGAACCGTGTCAGTTACCAGTCGGCCTGTGCCACCTCCACGCGCGCTGTTAACCTCCTCCTGCATGCCTAGGAGAGTCAGGCATGTCTGCATCGCTCTGCCACCATTGCTCGTCTTATTTTGTAACCAATGTTTTGTTTAGATCCCTTCAGCATTAGTCTCATCCCAGTATCCATGTGTGCTGCTGTAACTATACCACTGCAACCATCATTACATTCCAGTTTTCGGCCTAACTGATGAGAGACCCCAACGCATTTGTGTCCATTTGGGGGAGTAACACAGCTCGGCTCTAGCCTACAGGGCAGTCAGGAGCAGCTCCTAGGACTGCTGTCCACCTTCAGCTCTTCAGCGACCCGTTGGGAGCGCTGAAAACCTGCAACACCACCAGGGCGATCCACCGCTGCAAGCTCACGACTGTTTCCAGGAGTCAACCACTTGCTGTTCAAACGCTGCCTTAAACTCGAGTGCCTCAATCTGCCGTTTGCCAACACGACCACCTTCCGGTATCCCACAAAGGGCTTCGTGTCGCAGCTCTCTTCGCAGCGCTGCAGCTGCTGAGGTAGCCACGGTAGGTGTTTTCTAGAGCTCCGCTGGATACATGGTGCATCATGAATTTTATACATTGAAACGCGTATCTCTTCATTTTACTTTAGTATTTTTTAAAATATTTTTACGGAAACTGTCTTTTAGTTTTCGCTACGAAGTTCCAATTTTACTTACTGCAGTGCTAGTCCCTCTCCAGGTGGTGCTTCATTCTATGGACCAGCTGAAATTTGAATGATACTTTGTAATGATCTATGTGCACTTTGATTGTAAACAATTGAAATTTGGATATGTTTATACGTGTAAATAGAGTTGTCTGCAGTGCCCCCATTGCTTACCTTGTCTCGCCTCCCATGTGTGACCCTGTTATCGAACGCATCGTATCTGATTCGCTAGGGTGCTAAGAATTAGACTAGAGCTGTTGGGGGGAGGGATACTTGTGTCCAAGCGAGCTTGTCAGCCCAGCCACCTGCTGTTCGGGGAAATGAAATCATCCTAAAACCATCCTGTTTTTCTGGGCTCTGAAGCAATAGTTGGAGGCAGCAGTGCTGGATTCTTTCTAATTTCAGTGTTATTAGGAGCTGTACTACCAGTAAAACTGAGTTTGAGTGACTTGTGTAGAAATCGATTCCTTTTGTTACGTATACCACTATGACAGCTTGACCTAGTGTACTGTGGGGGCTCAAACTCTTGAGTTTAGATTTTCAGAGCTTGTATACAGGGTTATTTATACAATAACGGGACATTACCGAATCCTGACAGAACTACTTAGGTAGTTTTTGGGGTTGGGGAGGGGGGTGTGTTTGTGGGGTTTTTGTTTTGTTTGGTTTTTTTTTTTAATCTAGTGCTTTTTTATTTTAAAGTTAGAGAAAAGGAGGAAATGCGATCTATGTATTTTCTGCTAAAGGGCCTGTGGTTTGCCTGGGTAACAGCCTTGCAGGTCAGTAGTAACACTTCCTGGTAAAGGACTACATGTTCTTTTCATGCTACTGTTTGTTTTTCTAAAGCCAGGATTTGCTTCCTTTGGTGGAGGCAGGTTGCTTTCATGAGGGATAGTGCAACTTGTGTGGGGGTTCTTAAACATAGGAAAAAGGCATTTGTACTTGCACAGCTAGTTATAAATCACTTACTCTGAAATTCTGAACGTGAGTTGTCTTAAAGAATCTGACACTTTCCAGTAATTTTTAATCCCTTTTTGTGCACATGTTGATTTCCTAAATGTTAAATGCTTTGTTTATAAACAGCGTTCTCTGTGGAGAATATTTTCATGGAATAATAAAAAAAAAACCCAACCAAAACACCACCTTTTCATGGTCTAAGTAATTAGTTTCCCCATTTGCCTCTGTTAAGACGGAGAGGGAGACTTTCAGCATGAGGTCTGTAACCTCTTGTTACGGCAGCGGAATCTCTGCTGTGCACATTGGTGCTGGTTGTGCTGTCGGCCTCTCCGATACTCTCAGGTGCTGTAACATCTCACTCCAGTAGGCAGGCGCACTGACACCAACCATATGCAGCTCTAACCATAGTTCTCACTGAAATATTTATACAACTTCTAACAGAACTGGTGTATAAGCATTATGCTGTGTGACAAAGTGGAATGTGCTGCTAAAGCACTCTTCACATAAACACCCTGCACGCTGATTTCCTATGGAAAGTGCTAACAGCTTACGCTTTGCCTTCACCCAAGGAAAAAAAAAAATACTGCTTACCAGAGTGATTCACCTCAGTAAATACAGCAAGTTTAATACACACATACACCCACGTTTACTCATATCTCAAAGCATTTTAATTATCTGGGTCGTTTGTTCTTTCTGTTTCATCGCTGACTTCTGGCAGCGCAGCTGTTTGTTGTGCAGGCTCCAGCAGAAGCCGGAGTACTGCAGATGCCGTCGTGGCAGAAACCAGCAAGTTGGCCCCACACACACACAACTCATATTTTCTGCTTTCACAGACACGTTTATATTTGAGCCCTCTGTTGCGGTCACAGATAAAGGACCACTTCTGCAACCTGTGGTATTTCTGCAATACGCAAATTACTTTGCATAAAGATACACTTTAATTCACAATTCTATGTACAGTATTTTATATTCATTAAAGGACTATTATACAACAATTTTTCTACAGTGTCACACACTTAATCTATCATTTTATTTACACTATTTGCCTCATTTTAATACTAAGATGCCAGTGCCCTTCCTCCCAGGCATTATCGAAAACACTGCAACTCTGGGCAAACACAGAAAGCTGTAAGACCGTCTTATGGGGATAACCGAGCTATTTAAGGGCATCCTTAAATGACTCAGTGACACAGTAAATAAATAGTTGGTTTAGAAGTCAGTAGTTTTAAAAGAAGTGTGCATTGTGCAATTGAAAGTTCTAAACATCTTGTGAAACACAAGTAGTTTGTACAGTATCAAATCGCCAAGGAAGCTAGGGTTATTTCAAGTGTATCATTTACGTGGTGTCTACAGTCTTTCTTACATACTTAATTGTTCTACCTGCTTCACTGGAGGAGGAGGTTCCAGTTTGCGGGAAAGTGCAGTTAAAATCTGGCTGAATTTCTCATATCTTTCATTTTGATTAACCTGTGCTCCTTTGCTGCCCCAGAGCAGTCGCATCTGAAATTCTGTCTTGAAGATTTCACTCATCTCTTCGTCTGGCTGGAAACCTAGTAAGTAAAAAGAACCCCACAACATCACCATCAGGCAGAGTCTTTCATTCAGAAACAAATGGCTTTTAAATGTTCTTCCCCCCAAATAAGCCTTAGTGTGCTCAGTTCTTTGCACAATTATTTTAAGACATTAGTAAAACAGTGAAAATCCTGTCCACCTGTGACACGAGCAGCACACAGATGGTGCTTGGGACACTGGGGCAGGCCTTTGCTCAGATATAATGGTCTAGAACTGCCATCCTAGCCTGACCCTAAATATAGTTACTGATGTTTATGTGCTGCCTCCAGAAGTACGTCATTTCTCCCCCCTCCCTCCACTTTCTCACACCAAGTTCAAAATCCAAAGCCACATTATTACCACGTTGCTGCTTTCTGGCCGCAAGCGGTCAAGATCGCGCTGCTGCATCTTGCGCTGGTGTAAAGACTCTTGTTATGATGGGTGGTGGTTTATTTTGCAAATACCCAGGTAGGAATTTTAAACTGTACAGAAGACAGGAAGTTATCCTCAGTCCCTCCTGTACTTCAGTTGCTGGAAGGGTCAGCGTACAGAGTCTTCAGAACTTTGAGTGTTTAGCAAAAACGTACACTCCTGCTTACTGGAGAACCACAGGGAATACTACTGCCTGCTTGTGAACAGTACTGATGTTGCTCCCAGACTGAGTTTCCTGCAGGACATTGCTACTACCTCAGCTCCTGAGAAAGAGGAGGGGAATTTCTTGCGCTGCCTTTTAGCGGCACTTAAGCGAAGACCTTATTCTTCCGACACAACCCACGCATTCTGTTAATGTGGAGCAGGGTCTCTCTCCTGCTTGTGCTGCCTACCTTCCAGCATCCGTGCTGCAGTCAGGCTGTACGTTTCCGCGTTCTGTGCTATCTGACGAGCTGCGGCCAAGTGCTTCAGCATTATTTCGCAGCTTTGGTCGCTGCTTTCCCACAGGTCGGTGCCTTCAAAAACAACAGCTTGTCGCTCCATCAGGGTGATGAGGGGCATCAGCAGCGGCACTGTTACGGTGTTGGGGGGAACGCTGGCGGTCTCTGGGACAGAGTATCAGATGTATCTCATCAGACATCATAACTGCAGTATTCTCTTCCGAGTTGGAAGCTACTGTTTGTCTTCCATCTTTCAAATTAGCACCTTACACCTTTCCTACCAGTTCACAGTGAACTGGTCAGGGAAGGCAGCCAAGACACACGAAGTGTTGGAAAACTATGTCCTGCTGCAGGCTCTGCTGAATTACTAGACAGTGACACAGATTTTAAACACATTTGAAATCTGGGTCATTCCAATAAATTCTGCGGGGCTAAAAAGGTTTCCTTCTCTATCCATTCTCTTAGAGAAGCGTTCAGAGAAACACTCTCTGCCTTGCGCCCCCTTGGAGACTAGAGCTGCAAAGACACTGACGCAGGGACACCTGATGTGGTCAGAGGAGTTAGCTGAGTAGCAGCCGTTCTTTGTATCTGAGGATTTATCCTCTGATCCAACAGGCAAAGCAAAATCTTCCAGAAGTAACTCTCCTCTGAGGAAGGAGGTTTTTTCCTGTCTCTGAGGCAAGGCGATGCAGAGTGTTTCAGTTTCTGCTCTTGTATGAGTGTGGAGTTGGGCAGAAGGTTCTATTCTGCAAGGGTGCGTGCACACAAGCACACACTGATGTCTGGCTGCCAGACCAGC